CAAAGGTCTAGATGAGAAATCAGCTGGCCACTAGATGGTATCCCTGTAGCTTCACTTCTAAAAACTTCAGTATCCTGCACACTCTACTTAACCACAGACCTCATCATTCTTTACCATCACCTATACCACAAATTTCACCTATGTATGTGGCTTGCCTGCCTCTCTCTCGGTGTGTTATATCTTGGTCTTAACCCTTAATACTCTTAAAAGTAAAGTCAAATAGAAACAAAAGCATTTTCCTTATGTGTCAGAGCAGACTTGTCCAAATCACAAACCTCTCTCCAATGGAATCCACACAACAGTTTGCTAAGAACAGAAAGAGGAGTTTTTAAAAGTTTTAAAAATTATCTACAATCTCATCCATGGCCAGTTACCACATAGCTAATTCCAGCCACACAGCTGTAAAAAGAAGCTGACAGCCACTAGAGATGAACTACTCAATTACCTTTCTTCACTACTAGTAACAGCAGGGAAGGGAAGGGAAAGGGACTAAAATCCATCATGGAGTAGCTTAGAAATGTCTGAATCTCACAGAGATAACCTATATTGAGTGAGAATGCCTCACAAAAGGCTTTGGCAAATTTTAACATTTCTACAAAATCTAGGATGACTTCAGAAAATGAAAAGTAGTTTTCCAAAAATTTAAGAGAGAAAATTAGGTGTATCTATTCAGAAAACTACTTAACAATCTTGGTCGATGAACTATATTCTTTGTTTCATTTTATTTTAAAAGATATAAATTGTTTCTTGGCGTACGAAGAATGCAGATCAGCATTTAAATAGCAAATTAACAAGACAGCACTTGTTATACAATGCTACCCCCTTTCACAATTATGGTAAATTCTGTGTATCTAAATTGCTAAGTTATGATCTCAAGTTATCTTAGCTTTCATATTAATTCTGAAAAATCTAGTATAATTTTAAGGTTTGACAATGCAAACTCACAACTATAGCAGTTAAGGGAACTGTACAATATAAAATTTTTGTCTATAATTTTATCAGTGGTAAAAATCACTTATGAAATTAAATCAAAGCTTTATAGATTTGCCCCAACAAAAATTATCCACAGCAATTATTTTTACTTTAGCTCGTAACTATAACTTTCGAAGTTCTATTTACTTCATAAAAAGGAAGGAAATATATGCCTGGATGTACAATGTGATAAATTAGACCCCTTTTTGAGACAATGTCCCACTACATAACCCAGGCTGGTCTGGAACTCATGGAGATCTGCCTGCCTCTGTCTCCAGAGTCCTAGGAGTAAAGGTGTGTGCCAGCACGACAGGTGGTTCTTAGACCTCTTAACACTATTCAGTTTTTCTGATTTGTGACATCTGCAAATAAGTACAAACTGTATTTAATTTATAAAAAGTACATTTTGGAATACTTTAGTTCACTTAAACATAAATATTTTAATTTTTAATAAATTGATTAAAATGTTACCTAAAATATCCAATGAAATTTAGCTTTTGAAATTGCACAAAAACCTCTACATAAGATTTCAATCTAGTCCCTTTCTGAAGCTTAGATAATACATATAAATGGAGTGGATTAACCCGGGTATTTATTATTATACTGTTTTATAGCAAAAAGCAATATACTAGAAAATATTTCTGCATACACCTTTTAATGAGTTGTTGCAAACACACAAGAAGTGACAGAAAAATCTCTACAGAATAGAAGATACATGCAGTACCTCCAAAATGCATAAAGTCCATCAGCACCATGAGAATATATTATCTAAACATTAGAAGAATTCAAATATTATCAGTGCTTAAAAGAGCCTATTGTCCATTACAGTAGCCAAACTTATCAAAATTTGCCAGTACAAAAATAGCTTCACAAACTGCTGATATTTGTTCTGAACTCTCAAAAAGATGATAGCAGTTATTTATCAATAATACTGTATCACTGAGAATTAAAGTTATAATTAACAAAATAAAAATTTTAATTTTCAGTAGTATATTTCAGTGTCACATTCCAACAGCACTACAATAATAAAAAACTACTTTTGAGAGAATTTTGGTTGTCTCAAATCTTATTAAAAAATCCAACCACTTATTGAGATGACACATTTTAGAATCCCACACAAATGACACCAGGAAGCAAACAATTACCTTAAATGAGAGAGGACAACTTTTTTTACACGCAAACATACAGGTTAGTCTATTAGGATCTAACTACATTTTAGATCCCGCTAGTTTAAGACTATGGTCTCAAATTACACCCTAAAAAGTCACTTCAGTTTGTCAATGAGTTTTTGTTCAACCCTAAGAGGATATTATCATTTAATTTAAAAATAATTTTAAAGAAAAAAAACAATTTAGAAAAGATTTAATAGCATGCCCTCAAAGAAATTAGCAAACATTTACTCTCAAGGTCTTCCTGTTTTACATCTCCTAAGCTTTTGAAAACATTTAAAGAAGTATATCAAAGAGTGTTCATTCCTCAAAACATATCTGATTAGACTATTATTGCATAGTATATGACAGAGACATAAAACAGTACTATAACACTTAATTAAATAGTACATAAGAGCCCATATGTTTACACTTTAAGAGTACAGTTCTTAAAAACCAAAGAAAGTAGCAAATGATTCAAGGTAGGGCATTATGCCACTAAATTAGGTAAAACAAAAACTGTCACAGCTTAATTATATTTCCTTAAAAGTTCAAGATAGTTTTAAGAAACTAATGTGGATGAAATTATGTATCTAGGATTTACTTTTAAAATAATACAATGGAGGCTGGGGAGTTGGCTCAGTTGGTAAGAGCACTTGTTGCTCTCATAGAGGATGAAGATTCAGAACCCAACACCCACATGGTGGCTCACAACCATCTATAACTCCAGTTCTAGGTGATCTGACACTCTCTTCTGGCTTCTATGGGTACCAGACATGGACATGCCTGCATGCAAAACACCCATAATTTTTTAAAAATTATTGTGTATATATTATGATATGTATACATATATACATATTAGAGCAGGGTCAGAAGAATTGAGCTATCAAATCAAAGTCATTACTAATGAGTAACTGGACCTAGGACACATAAACTAAATTTTAGGAATTGGTTTTCTCATAAGCCAAAGGCATGTGCTTTCAAACTGTGAAGCTTTACATTGTAATTCAATGTGTGTGCGCCCGCGCACCACACACACACAACACTGAAACACTACAGTGAGCTTTACTGATGTTTTCTACTTGTATCTTTTTTCAGAAGCCATGAAAAACCCATGAAGTTGATTTGAAACTTTGGAAATCTTGAATAATACCATCTCTGAGGATCCCTATCTTCTTGACAATTGGGAATTCTTACAGTAGCTGTAAAAAACCTACCTCCCATGAGAATCTTTTTTTCAGCCAAAGAAGCAGATGAATGCTGAATCATGTATCATTGAACTCAAAGGAATACTTTTATAAAATCCTATAGTTGGGAATTCTTAAGATAATAAAAAACTGTATGATTATAAAATGTCTTTAACATAAATTAATCTCCTAGGTTTTCTATTTAGAAAACTGTCAAATCCTCCATGACAAGTTATGGAAGTCACAGAAGCAGTATCTTTAAGGAAAAAGTGATTCCCAATAGCCACTCAAAAACACAGGAAAAAAAAGTAGATGAGGATCAATTTTAGGGAAGTAATATCAACATTAAGGATTAGTAAAACAGTAAACATTTAGAAAATTTTAAGTTTATAAACTAGAAGTATCTTCTACAAATGTTAAATTTAAAAGTTATTTCTAAATGCCACATTATTCAGTAAGATGGGTCAATTTAGGTGTTAAATTAAGTATAAAATTACAATCAATGCAGTTCAGTCTTTTAAATGGAAATGTTAAATATTACTTAATACAAAGGAAATTTTTCCTCAACTAAATCGTTAAGATATTTTAAAATTCTATCCTACAATATCATTTTTTATAATCAAATAATGTAATTTTTGTGATACTATCAAAGAATTGCAGTCTTGCTAAAAGACTGCTCACTAAATCAACATGAATATCTGGTAGTAAGATTGAGGGAATGAAAGTTTTCCTGAGTTCAGCTGTCTGCAGAGCTAGAGAAAGAAAGCACTTGCAGCTTACTTCAAAATCTCTTATTATCTTATGTATAATTAGTATTAATGCATCCTTAATTCAAAATTTCCCATTTATTCTTAAAAGTCATTCCTGATTTCCTTCCACCTCAGTCTGATGTGATTCCTCAGTATTTATTGAATATGTTTAATCCTATGCCCCTATTATTTAATACAGCCCAATCAAAATTAATATTCACATAATACAGTTTGAAATATCTCACTTTGTAACCTTTAATCTGTCAAAGAATTTAATTTTCTAAAACTTGGCCCTTCCAACAAATGTGCAGTAAAAAGCATTCAAATAAGAGTAAAAATTAATATTAGGCAGATTACAGATAGCCTTTGTTAAAAAAAATATTTTCAATAGTACGATTTCACATTCCTCTCTACAGTCTAATAATAGCAGTGTGGTCAATAATTAATATAACTAGTTTATAATACATTTAGGATACACTGTATCTTTTAGAATACCGAATACTTTGATAAATTCAGAAGCAATTCAAGCTTTCTCTCCTGTTGGTACACAAAACAATCTGCCATTACTGTTCATAGCCGCATGCCTGGTCTACTGTCTTCTGTGAAACCATGCTATGCCACCTCTAGGACGATGGTAAAGCTTATACAATGTATAAGTCTTAAGTTACAAACATGAAAACAGAAAACTGGTTAACAAACAGGGTCTTTAAAAAATAGAAGGGTTTTATGTTTTGTTCTATTAAAAAAGTTTCTCCTATAACTAACTCAATTATCCCCTTTTCCACACAGATCATGAAAATATTCAGTCAGCCAAAAACAATAAATTAAAGAAGTCTGACCTAGGATTTTCACTCAAAGGTTGTAACTTCAAGAGTTTCTGAAACCAAATAAGCGTCTACATTTATGCATCTTATTTAATCATGATTGCTGAATTGAACGTGTACCTATGTGCAAATGGCAATGCATTCTGAGCTGGTTCAGCCCTTGGCTCTGAGTTCTGTGTCACATCAGGTGTTCTTTCGTCATCTGTCCCATTGATGCTTTCTGGTGTTAAAGGAGACTGAAGATCTCCACCTGCTGATTCCTTTAAAACAACAGAAAGAGAGACAAGAGAGTAAGAGACTTTTAAAAAACTGTTACACTTTTGTTTAAGCACACAATGTCATCTAAATTAATTGCTTGTGATGAATCAAATAGCAATTGAAATTTGAATTAGATTTTAAAGAAAGACAATTATTTTGCAGGAAAGCAACTAATAAGAAAATTAACCAAAATATAATTAAAAATTATAAAGATAGCAATTCAGAAAGTATCTGGATTAATTCAAGCAACTAAATAGAATAAATGACACACACAGAGAATTACTTCAGAATGAGTAATGGCAGCTGGGCACTTAAGAGAATGATGAGGCAGGAGGAGAGTGTCTTAAGGCCAGCTGAGCAGCACATCTCAGGAAAACCAAAGAATAGTACACCTACTCCAGGGTAAGGCGGGGTGGGGCACTAGTAGCTCCATCCTTCCTCACCAGACTGTACTAATTCTAATAAAGCCTGAAATGAAATTTCCTTAGTTTCATTCTTTTTAGCTAAACCAAAACAGGCCCTTTATTATTTAATAAACATTCACGAAAGACTCATTCTGCCTCATTCATACTTCAGTAAAACTGTCAATACCTCTCTTTACTGTGCACAAGTTTGACAGGGAAATCTGGGGGAGAAACTTCATGATTTTGATACATAAAGATGATAGAGTTAAGATTTCAGGCAAGCATCCTGATATCCTCTGGTGTAAATTATTCACTATGTTCTGTCACCATTCAGAGCCACCACTCTGAAATCCCAGTTCCTGACAACTGTAACAGTTCTTGCACAGGGCACAGTGTATGCCCAGCATGGAGTGAGGCCATGGGTTTCCTCTGATTCTATCTGACAGGAATCACCTTTACTTTGAAGATACTGCTTCTGTGACAGCCGAAATTAATACTTTTCATAGAGGTTTTTTTTTTTTTTTTTTTAATCGAGTTCTAAATATAAAGTCTAGAAGACTAAGAAACTTTTAATTATGTTAAAGGCCTTTTATAATTCTATGTCAACACTAAAGATTAGCAAAATAATAAACATTTATAAACAATGCACCCCTTCCCTACCCCCCAAAAAAAAAAACTGGGGAAGAAGAGGAATAGAAAGGAAAAGAAAAATAAAATCTGAATCTGAACTAACCCATATTATTTTTTAAAAAAGATTTATTTCCTAATTTAAGTGTAAATATATATGCATGTGCCCACAGAGCCCAGAAGAGATTGCTGTACCCCTAGAACTGAAGTTACTTGGGGTTGCAAGCTCTCTGACATTGGTGCTGGAAACTGAACTCTGGCCCTTTGTAAGAACAATTAAGTGCTCTTAAGTGCTGAGCCATCTTTCCAGGCCTAATTAATATTGTAAGATGTACTAACAGATTGAAGCTGATGACTAACAGGTCAATCTTCATTCTGCTTATATAATTTTGCACCCAGTAACTGCATTAAATACCTAATGGGAGCCAGCTGTATTTGCCTTCAAGACTGTTTATGCCAACTGTACTTAGATAATTAATAATTAGATTAAACATTATGAAATTTGAAAAACTAGAGTGGTTATTTTAACTAAAACCAAATGAAATGCTTTAAAATATCTGAAAAGCAAATGGTTATAAAGTAAAATAAAATTCACAGGTGAATTAAACATATATAATACACTTTGTATTTTTACATAATATTGTATATACTACCATATATCAGAGAAATGATATAAAATAGGATATTCAGATATCTTTGCAACTGCCAAGGTTTAGCTCTATTTAACAACCTTGAATTCATCTCTCTGCCTCCTGCCTTCAGATGCAATGTATCCAGCAGCCTCACGTTCTCTGCGGTAATGAACACATATCCCTTTGAATTGCAAGCCAAAATAAACCCACCCTTAAAAACAAAAACAAAACAAAGCAAAAAGCCAACCACAAAACTGAAGAAAACTTGTAGAGAAGCCAGGAAAGTTAAGCTCACAGTTGATCTCTTCAGAGCGAAAAGACACTTGGCTATTCTCCCAGAATCGTGGGGAACATGTAGTTTACAACCTGGTGATCCTTTGCCACCTGTTGAACCAGGTTCTGCCCACAATGCTCAGAATATTACATTTGTTAATCCCAGACCTTTCCTCCTAAAACCTTGAGCACTGCTTCTAGGCCATAAAACTCATCTTTGTGAGAGATTTCATTTGTACTTTACAACTGCCCAAGTGACTTTTATGTTATCTTAGGGCCAGTTCAAATTCTGACTCCCACAGGGATTGTTTACTTTAATCATTCTCCCTAGACCTTATCTTGAACACTGTTTCTAAGTTAACAGAATACATTTCAGGGATGAAGCCTATGTACTTTGCAAAGTTTCAATGTAAACATCTTGAGTTTTGTGTACCCACGAGATTGAGTTAATTGTTATTTGAAAACTTTTTTCCAAAATTGTGCTATGCTTAAATATGGCAAAACATACAAGCTGATGTCGGACTCTAAGAAATCTTGGCCCAGCACTGGTTACCTAAATCGGGCTGAACCAAATTTCATTCTTCCCTCACCAGCATTATTTCCCTGCTGGCTTTACAGCCTGCAGAGACCTCCCACAACAACTAACTGTTGGTTTACTTAGTCTATTAGAATCAAAACATAGAAGATAATGTAGGGTTCAAGCCAACAGCACATTCAAATATTTTAGATTAAAATATTGCAGAACTAAAATTATTGAATGTTAACATAAAAATTTTAAGTAAGAATCCTTTAAAATGTTTCCTCACATTTTCCGAAACAATGGGGACTGATAGGGCCTCCTGCATATTCAGCAAGCACTGGATCACTGAGCTACAGCTCGACCCTGTTTTTCACTTACTGCTATGTTAAGATAGGATCTCACTCATTTAAGTTCTCCAGACTGGCTCTAAACTCAGTCTGTAGCCCCGACATACTTTACAATCCTCTTGCCTCTATCTCCAGAGTACCTGGGATTACAGACCTGTTTTTCATGTCTTAGCTCTCTTTCTTGATTAACAGATCAACTGTTGGTTTTGATTCCAACAGACAAAAAGAGCCTGTACCCTTCATTCTCCTGCACTCCAATCTGTTCCACTCCCTTTCTACTGTTCTAGACTTATTATAGTCCATACATACTAACAGTAACAGTGCTACTTTGTCAGGCTCACTCTAGCTTTAATTCTCTCCATACTAAGGCAGAAGTATATATAGCCTTAGTTCAAGAGTGTAAGAATATGAAGTGGCTAACTTCTGTCTAAATGCCAGATTCCTTTCATTTCAGGGTTTGAAGGTAGATGGAATGACTTGTTTATTTATAGAATCCCTTACCTTAACCATCATCAGTATTTCCTGAAAAGGAATCAGAAATACAAATATCTGGGTTCCATCTTTGACCTATTAAATAAGAAACTATACTGTGCTTTAATAAGTCTTCAAGAGAATTCTGATGTATGTAATGCTGGTTGCTGTTTGTCAACTTAACAAAGCTAATCTTCTGAGAAGAGGGGATCTCAATTAAGAACTGTCTCTATCAGACTGGCCTGTAGGCAAGCCTGCTAGGCATTTTCTTGACTAACAATTGATGTGGGAGGGCCTAACCCACCGTGGGCAGTGCTAACTCTAAGCAGGTGGTCCTGGTCATGTAAGAAAGCAACTTGAGCAGATTATGAGGAACAAGCCAAAAGCAGTACCCCTCCTGGCTTCTACTTCAGTTCCTGCCTCCAGGTTCCTGCCTTGATTTCCCTCAATGGACTGTGACCTGGGATGTGTAAACCAAATAAATGCTCTCCTCTGCAAGTTGCTTTTAGTCATAGCTTTACCAAAGCAACAGAAATGCTAAAACACATGGCATCTATGTTTTCCTAACAACTGTAATGTGCCAGACACTATTTAAAGACTTTGGAATTGTTATTCTCACCATTATAACCACATCAACAGCAACAGGTGCCTATATTTCCTAAGAATTTACTATCTATAAGCATTTTCTAATCCTTACTGAAGTCTCACAACAACCCTGAGAATATGTTGGTCTCATTCCTATTTTTCGTGTGCAATCCCTCCACCCCCACTTACTCGCCTAATTCATAAAGGTTAGTGCCAAGATTCAAACCCGGCTCTAGCATGCACACCATTCACTAACCATGAGTTGCCATCATCCTTATCATACTCACCTCTCTCAATAAAGTGATATAATATTCATGCTAAAATGTATGAACACACTTGAGTTAAGTCATTCCTCCAGTCACAGAAAAAATACTAAAGTTTGTCTGACTTGAAAGTGTTTATGCTTTGTTTTGTGTTTTATTGTTTGTTGTGTATTTGTTGAGGTAGAAGGGAAAGGAAAGTTCAGAGGGACAGAGAAGCAGAAGAAGGGAATAAAGAAGAGCACATGAATGTTACAGCATGAGGGTTAGGGTCAAGAGTTGGGTCTCTCCTTCCACCCCATGGGTTCTGGGGATCAGTTCTAGGCTATCAGGCTTGCCCAACAAGTGATTTCATATGCTGAGCCATCTTGTGCTCCCCATGTGGTTTTGTTTTGTGGTGTTGGGCATCTAGCCTAGAGTCTGGTATGCAAGCGGTCTCTTTCTATCACTGAGCTATATTCCCATCCCACACTTAAATATTCTTAACTAATGTAGCATACCTCCTCAAAATTAACGGTTTTGACCATCTACTTTCACCAGTTATTCCATTTAAATTATTCCATTCAAACAAAACAGAAGCATTAGATTGTCACAAATGCAGGGAAGAGGAGGAAGGGGAAATTGTTTTTTCTACTTTTCTCTCTGACTCCCACAGTTAATAGGCTTCAAATATTTGAAAAGATAAATTAAAGCCTGTATCTCAATGCTGATCAAATTAAGATTATTCATTCTTTTTATATCATAGCATTTTCAAGTATGATCATCTTTTCTATATCTGTTTGATCAAACCAAAAGCTTAAAGACATTCCTTCCATCAAAGACAAGAAATTAGCTTACTAACTTATGGTTTATAAGCAATTAAACACAATGTTAAGTTATAAAATGGTAACTAAATACAATGACAATGTATCTTTCACTACAATTTTATTGATATTTTTGTGTATTTACATACTGAAATTGCTTTTTGCTGTATCTTTTGGTAACAACAAAATCATTCTCCTAAAGAATCAAAACTCCCAATACACATGGGCACATAATTTTAAATGGCTTTTATGCTTAAAGGAATCACTGGAGTACCAGAGCATTTGAAAAAGAGATGCAACACAGTTTCACAAAATCACCCACATTATCCCAGGTTGCTGCAAGTAAGGAAGAATGGGCTTTGGTTTCTCACAATACTCATTTAGTCTGTGACGAAAGCACATTCAGCAGAACTCTTCTAATTAAAATAAAAATGAACTCTTTATATTTAGTGAGGCTTAGCAAATAGATGTAAGTAGATTTTAAGATCAGGAAGAATGTTTTAAATTTTGTAATGTTTTGATTTTTAAATTATTGTTATTTATTATTGTATGGTGGGGTGATGCACAAGCTATAGCAGGTATGTGGGGTACAGAGAACATGGGTATTGGGCGGTGCACAAGCTATGGCAAGCATGTAGGGTATAGACGACATGGATGTTGGTCCTCTCCTACCACCTTGTGAGTTCTGGGGAGAGAACTCAGGTTGTTAAACTTGCACATAAGCAACTCTACTCATCACAACTATACAATATGTTGTAACAGTCTGGCTAGATAAACTATTTCTCTCCCCTAGAACTAGCCAATACTTAGAGAAACCAGGAGCCTAAAGGGGAACAGGCCTTTGACGTCAAACTAACCATGCTAGTATCAAACAAACCAGTTTTCTTTATTTGCCTTGTACTGCAGAAACATATTTCTTAGTCTTAATCACTCAGAGTCAGATTAAAGCCAACAGAAACTGAGAGCCTATGAAATTGATTAAACTAGCTAATCCTAAACTATTTTTATTGTTCCTCCACATGAAATCCCAATAGAAAGTCTGGCATAGATTTCCTTTGCTCTTTCTGCCTCTTAACTACTCCCTTCCTGCTTTCCCTTGTGGGTCTTCTTGGTGTGTCACACCTAGCTTCTAGGACATGAATGCATTTTTGTTTGTTTTCTGAGTCTCTCCTTTAGTTCCTCTAGGTGGCCAAATTTGTCTTACCATTACCTGCATAAAAGAACATGAACAAACACACAGGGTGATCATCTTGTGCTTTTGTTCTTCTGTTGTTAGGTACTGTGTTGGTTTGAAAGAAGATGGCCCCCAAAGGGAATGACACTATTAGGAGATGTGGCCTTGTTGGAGAAAGTGTGTCATTGTGGGGGTGGGCTTTGAGGTCTCCTTTGCTCAAGCTTCTTTCGGTGTGACATTCAGCTGACTTCCTGTTGCAAGACGTAGGACTCTCAGCTCCAACACATCTGCCTGTATGTCGCCATGCTCCCCACCAAAAGACTGAACCTCTGAAACAGTGAGCCCCTCAATTAAATGTTTAACTTCTTAAGAGTTGCTGTGGTTATGGTATCTTTTCACAACAATAAAAACTCAAACTAAGACAGAAGTTGGTACCAGGAGTGGAATATTTCTGTTAAAGGCCTGACCATGTGTTTGTTTGGAGGAATATAGACTTTGGTACTTTGGGTTTGGAAAGCAGTGGAATACTTTAAGCACTGCTTAAAGGGCCATACTAGTAAAACCATGGAATATGGTGCTAAGAGTTATTTGAACTATTGGAGGCTCACTCAAGAGGATTCAGAGAACAAGAACCAAGTCTGCCTACACACCACCATATTCCCCACCATGATGATAACAGACTGAACCTTTGAAACTGTAAGTAAACCACTTCAATTAAATATTTTACTTTTTAAGAGTTGGCATGTGTCTCTTTGCAGAAATAAAAACTCAAACTAAGACAGGTACATAAAGGTTATCTGGGTTAATATTGATTTTTAAAATTATTCTTATAGACAATGACATATTTTCTGCCAGAGAATAATTAAACAGTGTACTTCTATAACTACTTTGGTAATTAATCTTGCCATCATTCCAAGTTTCACTCTGGCATAGAAGATACGAAGGTCTGAAGTGACGAAGGCTCACCCATAAAAGCAGATCAATGACACCCACCTGTGAAGGTGTACTGGTCAGTTCCATCTTCTCCTGTGACTTCTCCTTTGCAAGACGAGCAGCTTCTTTAAATTCCTGAAACTTTTCTGCAAACTGAACGCACAGAGACTATATACATTAACCAAGTAGCAGTATGCCACAGAGCCCATTTTTCCTTGGTTTTCCTTTATTTTCTGAACTGACTCTTACATAAGCAGCACAGCCTCCCAACAAGCACAGCTTGAAATATGAAAATGATGGGAAAAGAAGCCTAAACCCCAAACACTGTACATAAGTACTGTAATAAATCTTATTCAAAATATCACCACATAAAGAAGTTAGAATTTGGTCAGGCAGTGGTGATGCACACCTTTAATCCCAGTACTTGGGAGGCAGAGGCAGGCAGATCTCTGTGAGTCTACAAGAGCTAGTTCCAGGACAGCCTCCAAAAAGCCACAGAAAAACTCTATCTCAAAAAGCCAAAAAAAAAAAAAAAAAAAAAAAAAAAAAAAAAAAAAAAAAAAAAAAAAAAAAAAAAAAAAAAAAAAAAAAAAAAAAAAAAAAAAGAAGAAGAAGAAGAAGAAGAAAAAGAAGAAGAAGAAGAAGCAGCTAGAAGTTGGCAAGTTGGTTTATCTATATTCTCCTCTGGTTATTAAGAAACAATTTATTAAGACTCATATGAGTCGGTAGACAGGCATATATTATGCTTTAAAAAAGTTACTAAGTATCTATTTGTACATCCAAATACTAAGAAAAAGCTTTTAACTATTAATAGAATATAAATAATGTCTGTATTATATATCATACAGATATATATCATTATATTTATGATTATCATTAACAACTAAAAAACTCATTAGCAAAGAGTTCTAAACTGCCAATTCAGTAATAGAAAGCAATAATATAAAGTTAAAAAAGAATAACATAAAAGGTTACTAGGATGAAAAATTATTCATGAAATGCTAATTCTTAGAAACCCCTTAGAACCCTGTCACACACAGTGCCTATTTGTTCAGGACATGGAAGCTATTCTATCACTATATTCAGATGGAGTAAGGTGGGCTACAAAATAAACCTGAAAACTTTATTCTCCATATAACTTAAAACACCTGTTGGATTTGGCAATAAAAAATATGAATTATATCACATTATTCAACATTGAATCAAAACTCAAAAATGCTAGGGGTTACAACTAGTAAACATATTATAACTTGAAGAGGAAAAAAAATTCTTAAAACATAAAAGCCATTCCCAGACACACACCCCAAATAACAAATAAGAGGAGGCAAGATGAGACTGTATGATTGACAGGTTTTAAATGACTATTCCTTTACTATATTTGCTAGCTACTCAGTAACTTGGAAACATGTAATGAAGGATTTGATTTATTGTCAAAATTACTTAAGCTTAAAAGACATTTCATGAAAGTTTATTTCAGAAATCAACTTACAATTTAGCTCTTTGTTGTGAAAGACCATGAAATTCATGTGTTAAAACATTTCTCCCTATTAGCAAAGAATGTTCTATAAAGTGTCTGATTAACCCCTAATGTGTTAGAGTATGCATATAATTTTTCAAGGAGATCATTTCTGGAAGTTTAATATTCGGCCAGATTGCTTTATGGGAAACTTTAATCTAAAACTCATACCTATGTCACAGGTCAAAATATATTTAGAAAGTAAGACTTGCTAAGAGGAGTCCTATCAGGCCACACACACACACACACACACACACACACACACACACACACACAGAGAGAGAGAGAGAGAGAGAGAGAGAGAGAGAGAGAGAGAGAGAGACTATAAGTGCTTTATAGAGAATGGTTTATAATTACAAAGATAATAGTTAAAATAGCTTCAAAATTTGAGCCTTAAACTTTTATATTGAAAAGGAATAAAAAGGAATGTTTACAAGAAAACCAAGTAGATTATTTCAACTACTAAACTATCTAATTATAAATCAAGTCAATAAATATTCACAAAGGTGTAAGACATTTAAAGTAACTCATTTTAAAGGATCTCAACAATTTATACAATTAATAAGCTTAAGGTTTAACATACATATGAACTGCATTTATCTACAAGAATCTGTTACCATGCATTCAAATAATTTAATTTTCAGATGCTCTTTATACTAAATCTCATGAAAACATCTGAAATTCTGTTAAAAGGGCAAACTCTTTAAACAGAATAGTTAGCACAGAAGTTTTAGCATAAATCTTTATGCCTTATGGCCACAGAATCTAGAGAGCAAGGTGAGTAATAGTCATCATAATCTGTGGTGATATTTTATTTATGATTAACAAATAAAGCTTGCCTGAAGATCAGAGTGCAAAGCTAGCCATACTAGTTAGCTATAGAGGTCAGGCAATGGTGGTACACACCTTTACTCCCAGCACTTAGGAGACAGAGGCAGGCAGGTCTCTGTTAATTCAAGGCCACCCTGAGCTACAGGAAATTGATCCAGTCTAAAAGAGAAACAGAGCTCACACAAAGGTGATCTCAGCACCTGGGATCCCATGCCTTTAATCCCAGCACTAGAGAGAAATATAAGGCAGGAGAAGACAGATGCTCAGTAGAGTCTGAGGTTTGGTGGAGACAGATGCAGTCTGAGGACAAGATTGCCCCTTTGGTCTGAGCATTGGTAGAGGTGAAAACTGTCTAGTGGCTTTGCTTCTCTGGTCTTCAGCTTTAATTCCAGTATCTGTCTCTGGGTTTTTAATTATTAAGACCAACTAGAATTCGTGCTACACTAATCATCTTAGTATCTTGTGATTATGTCTTTCCTGCGTACTTTTCCAACTCTCTATATCCATTCTTTCTGTGTTAGATGCACAGGAACTCAAGATGCTCCTGATGTAAGCATGGGGTGGCTTTCTTTATAGGCAGGACAATTGTTTATTTCTAGTATTTAGCCTGGTGATGCTCTGCATTTTATAACTCTTTCTGGCCATTGTAATTCATTTTATCAGCATCATCCAAGAAATTCCCTTTGGTGCTGACATTCAGAGAATCTACATCCAAGCAAATCACAGTTTTCTCAACAACTTACATATGACTGTTGCCACATTAAGGAACAAACAAGAATAACAAAATCCACTTGAAATCTATATTTCTGTCAACACAATTTGGAAGAGTTTGCTTATCTTGAAGACCATCTCCAAATGAAGGGTACTAATTTTTTTCAGCAAAATCCCTTCTGGAGAGTTAATTCCCACCTTTTACTTCCTGCCACACAAATAATTCACTACAAGAAATCTTATTAACCAGTGGTGAATATTCTGGATGTGTATAATAAATCTTCATGCAAAATTATGAAGAATCCAATTATATTTTTATGTTACTATTATGCTTGTACTTATTTATGTAACATTTAATATAATATTAATATTTGTATTTTAAAGTCACTATATTTCTCTCACCATAGAAATTAAATAGATTTCTCCTGTATTTTGCAATTTCCAATTGCTATTACATATATAAGACACACAAATTAGAGATAAAGATTTTCTTAGAGACTACAGAAATAACTTACTTTGGAAAGATGATGCTCAGAGGAGAATCCCAATCCATAAACAGTATTTGCCCGGCTATCAGCCCACTGGCCAAACTTTTGAGATGTTTTAGTAAATGTCATGTTTGGAGTGATGGTGCTATTTATTATTGCCTGAAAAATAAAACAAAAGTCACCAGGCAAAATAAGCAAATAGGTATTTAAATACAAGACCATTTCAGCTATATAAAACCAGGGTCACTTGTAACCCATAAACATATAAAAATAATTGCAGTGGTAGCAATACAGAAATATATAACTAGTAGAACTAACTATAGATACATTTTTAATGATCCAAAGACCTCAAAGGTTTTTGTGTGTATGTGTTGGGGTAAGGGTGTGTGTGTGTGTGTGTGTGTGTGTGTGTGTGTGTGTGCATGTGTGTGCCTGTGCAGGATAGACAACCTCAGATGTTATTCCTCAAAAGCTGTTTGACTTGGTTTTTGAGACAGTGTCTCCCACTAGGTTAAACTGGCTGGCTAGCAAGGGTTTGTCACTTGTCTCCACCTTCCCAGTGCTACATGGATGCTAGGGACAGATCCATGTCTGCACAAGTAAGCATTTTACTGATTGAGCTAGCACCCAAGTCCCCTAAGATGTATCCTGTAAATCTACGCTTTTTACAAGTTGGTAATGGACAAATATTAGCAGCTACTTTTATCTTGCTTTTAGTGCAATTGGACTTTTTGGTGGAGTGGTCATCAAACTCGGGACCTTGCATATACTAGGCAAGTGCTCAACCACTAAGCCTTCAAACAGTTTTGAATGTGGTCAACTTCTTCCCTCTGAATGTTGAGGATCAATATTCATTAACTTTAGATGCTATTCTCTGGAAACAAACAGGCTTTACTCTTAAGAGAATCTTTCAGAAAAATGTATAAGGGGCTGGCGAAATATCTAAGTAGTTAAGAGGGTTAAGAGAACTGGCTATTTTTTCAAAAGACTGGATTCAATTTCTAGCGCCTACATTAGCAGCTCACAATTGTCTGGGACTCCAGTTCCAGGGGACCTGACACCTTCTATTTGAGTTTCCAAGCAACCAACATGAATGTGGCGCACTGGCATGAATGCAGGCAAAACACCCACATATGTAAAATAAAATTAAATCAAAAACAAAATAATGTATTAATGAATATACATGATTCTGATATTTTAATGTATAACCAAGCTTTTTACAATCTTATTTACACAAAACATATTTTCATACAAAAGAAAAGACTTTCAGTCACTTAGCAGGCCTTTTCTCTACTCAAGGAAACAACAAACTCTTAAGAAGTATTTTCACTTTATTTCTCACAAAATACAGATTGGTAGCAATATCATTTCTATTTCACACATAATTTCTTGGAAAACATAGCATTTTTAACATGTTAATAAAGACTAACTTAACACATTACAGTTATTATAAAATATTAATTCATGTTTTCTGCCAGTGTTGGAAAGGAAAGGATCATTTATAGTTGGGTAGTCTGGTGCCCCCTAAAACTCAGAACTATAATTGCACCAATAACAAAAATATTTATGTTGTCAACTTTGAAATTATCATCTAGCAAACTAATAAATGTGCAATGAAAGTCTGACATTTTCTGAAAATGTAAATTCATTTACCAAGTGAAACTCTACAAATATAAATGTTTATGTACTATCAGGAACTGATAAAGTTTTAGCAAGGATATATGGACATGTATATCCTGCTAAAGAAAAAGAAGATGGCACAACAGAAACTGGCTACTTCCTTTCTCGCAGGAAATAGATGTTATCTATTATTGTATGAGAGCTTTATCTTTGTATAAAATTTCTATATGTACATTTCTAAAGCTTCCTCACTATTTAGTTCAAAACAGCTTCCACTAGCATATCATTTTAGGTATGTAAACCATGCTAATGATTTTTTTAACTTGTGGAGCAGTCATCAGATAAAAGTCTAGGGGCTGGAGAGGTGGGTAAGCAGTTTAGAGCATTTACTGCTCTTGCAGAGGACCTGGATTCGATTCCCTGAACCCACGTGGCAGCTTACAACCATATAACTCCAGTAACGGGATCTGATGCTCTTTTGTCCTCTTCAGGCACCAGGCAAGCACATGGTACACATACACACATGCAGGCAAAACAATAAATAAAATAAAATAATCTTAAAAAAATTTAAAAGAAGGACTAACTAGAAAGATTATAAACAAGCAATAATAAAAGATCAATGATTTGTTTGATGTTCTCTGAGTACCTATTAGCTACCAAGCACAATTCAAGAAATTTGAGATACAACAGTAAGAGAGGCAATTCAGTTATAGAGTTCATCCTATAAGAGTTGGTTAGGGAAAAGTGAAGAAATAGCTAACAATGGAATTTCAGAGCATCAATAGCTGTGAAGCTCCTAGAAGGATATGACAGAGAGTGGAGGAAATCAAATAAAGACCAACAAGCATTGTTCTAGATTAGGTGATCCTTCAGTGTTCTCCAAGAAACATTTAAGGAAGGTCCTAGGTCAGAAGAGCACTTGGCATCAAACCCCATTAAAAGGTGGTGATACTACATTTAATAAGCAACAAGAAAAACTGACCAATGTGATGGTGGACACTAGGGCTCATTTCAAATTAACTTCATTGTGTCTTGTTAAAGAGATCCATTCAAATCTCCATTTTGATTTCTCCTTGCTTCTGTATTATTAGTCCTTCAATCACTGAAGAAAAACTTAAAATAATCCTATGCTTGAAAATCTATTTCTTAAATTTTTTGGCTAGAACACAACTAAGAAATTTTTTGGTTTTTTGAGGCAGGGTTTCTCTGTGTATCCCTGGCTATCTTGGAACTCACTTTGTAGACAAGGCTGGCCTTGAGCTTAGAGATCCGCCTGCCTCAGCCATCAGAGTGCTGGGGTTAAAGGCGTGCACCACCGCTCTTTTTTTTTTTCTTTCTTCTTTATCTTTTGGTAGAACTAAGAACTTTTTAAAAGAAAAAATTAGTGCTTTAAATAAAAAATTAGTGCTTTAAATAAAAAGTTCTCAAACCTAGAATTTTTGCCCTTTCAAGATGAAGAGGTAGAAAAGTGTGTCATTTCAAATCAGAAATGTTTTGAACCTGGCTAAGCCAAGCTAGGGTCTCTATATCACCATCAGAAAACTAAAGCAATACAATGCTGCTATACAACTTTAATTCGAGAATTTGGGAGGAGAACTTTTGAGTTCAAGGAGATCGAGACACAGAGACAGAGACAGAGAGAGACAGAGTCACAGAGAGAATGTGAGATAGAGAGACAGACAGACAGAGACAGAGACAGAGAGAACAAAGCCAAAGAAAAAACCCTTTTTCTTGTATACAGTTCAAGCACAAAGAAAGAACGGATGAACATTTTCTACTTAGGGTACTCTGGGCTTTTTGAGGCAATTATGAAACAGAGGGATAGAGATTCGATAGTAGAAAACTTGAAAAAACTTCAAGGACATTAATTACGTCAGTGTAGTTTTTCTTCTTAAACATGGACTACTTCAGTTATCCTCTATTTCCATTTAACCCTTTTTGAACCCTATCTAATAAGAAAGTACATTATACTTGTAGTTTATGTCAAGTGATACAATAAGTTACAGAAACTGAAAGTTCAAGTAGGAAAAATAAATTAGCAGTCTACAGCTGAGATAACATTTAATATCTGTTGTACTTCACTAAACCAAACAGTGATGAGCAGCTCCTCTTCATTAAGTAACACTTCACAGAAATGAACTAGCATCATCTCAAGTCTTTTAAGACCAATGATTTGGAGAAACACAGGTTAATCACTTATATGTAAGACACAAAATACATATAGCCCTGAGGTCCTATAATCTAGTAAGACTTCAATACAAGGTCTGCTCCTGAAATAAATCTACTATCCCAGCCCGCCTTCTTTTTCTTTGTGGTAGTGGTGGTGACTGACACAAACCAAAGGCTTTATGCATGGTACACCTCCACCCTCCCTATAATATAGTTAAAAAGACAAGGAATGAGCATAATGAAAAATCAGACTACAAGTTTAGCATTAAATTAAATGTACTTTAGTCCTCAAACCATACTAGGTCATATGTAAAATTATGAGCCTAGTAATATTAATAATAAGTATATGTACAGCAACTGCCATAAGCATTGTACTTTTTGTTGTTGTTGCTACTCAAAAATGTGGTTATAGTATGTGTATGTGTACTTGCATGCCCTGTAGGTCATGGGGCAATTTAGCCTTCAAAACTATAAGCTAAATAAATCTTTTTCTCCACAAGTAAACAATAACTGGCATTGTTATAATAATGAAAAAGTGACTAATATGGAAATTTGCTGTTCACCACTATTTTCTTATTATTTAACATCAATACAATACAGAGATGCTAGGAATACTCATTAAATAAACTAATCTACCATAAATCTAAAGAACCCGTTTCCTCATGAAACCCAATATAATAAGGAGTTAATTTATTCAAAAACTTTGATGTTGCTACTCTAAGAATGATCACTTTTTGTTTCTTAAAGTTAAGCTTCAAAATTTAAAATGGAATATTTTAATGAAAATAAAAATATGAATGAAATTGAAGTTCAACAAAGCAAGGGAGTAACATTATCTGAAGTAAATGTGACTTACCTTTGAGCCATCTAAACTGATTATCCTATATACATTTCTTGTGCTGTCATAAAAATAAGATACAGTAACTGCATGCTTGCTGGTGGGTACCCAGTTCTTCTTTGTGTTTGGGTCAATCTGGAAGACATGAGCTCGAGTGCTGAAGATAGGTTGTTCCCTGAGCAAAGAAAGAAAAAGAATAACTGAAAACAGTTGTATTTCATTAGACAAGAAGACACAAAAACAATAAAGATGACTACATTACTAGAAACTTACACATACCCACAAATAAAAGAATCTTTCTTTCTGATATGAATAGTGTAAATATACCATTATAAATTTCTTTAAATCAATTAGAGCCAGTTCTCGATATGCAGAGATTCTGTACACATGATTTAGCTACTCATTAGAAGTCATCAGTGACACCATGTGGGTTTCTGCCAACTTGACACACACTAGAGTCACCTGGGAAGAGAACCTCAACTGAGGAATTGCATGTATCAGAATGGCCTTTGGACATGTCTCTGAGGGATTTTCTTGATTAATGGTTGATGGGGGAGGGGAGGCCTGACCCACTGTCAGCTGTGCTGCCTCCAGACAGGTGGTCCTGGGTTGTAGCAAGCTGGGCCAGCCAGTAAGCACTATTTCTCTGTAGATTCTGCTTTCAGTGTCTGCCCTGGCTTTCCTCAATAATGGATGGAAGCTGAAGCCAAACAAACAAATTTCTTCCTCAAGCTTTTGATTACTGTTTTATCACAGCAATAAAGAACCAAACTAATAGACACTCCTGTCACCATCTTACAGAGCTGTAGAAAAATGTGAGTCACCTAACACATGCACTCTTCCACCGGAAGATGAACAAGACAATATCATCGTCTTGTTTTAGCACTCATACAAGCAGGTGTCTTTTTAGTGGTCTGTTTAGTGCCATGGTTTTTGCACTGCTGTGCTATTATAGATGTTTTTACTGCTTAAAATGGCCTCTAAGCATAATGCTGAAGTGTTCCTAAGTGTTGTATACTCAAAGATGCAAAGCTAATGTGCCTTATGAAGAAAAATAGGTGTTAGATAAGCTTGACTTAGGCACAAGTCAGGCTTGTGGTCACATGTTCACAATGTTAAAACAGTGATAATAATAAATGGAATTACACATTAACTGGGTGTACTGTGGCATACCTACAATCTTAGCATTTGGGAAGCAGAGTTAGGGTATCTTGTAAGTTCAAGCCTCAAGCAAACATAACAAGACCATGTCTATAAATAAATAAGTAAATACATGAAAGAAACGTACATGAAACACTATAAAAATAAAAGAATCCTTCTATTTGACTCTGAAGTTTTATACACTTACAACTACATCATTCTGTAATAACTGAAGAATCCCATTCAATATACTATCCTTTCATAAGCTATACTGGAAAGTATATGGAGGAGATATTCAAAACCATTGTCAATACTTTTCTTAAATCAAGTAGGATCTTAACAATGTACAAGAAGGTTTTACAAACAGAAAGAACAAACACTAATCACTACTCAAAACTAGTGTAGAAAAGAAGGCACAAGGCAATCTGCTCATAACAGGAGCACTATAGCCAAAGTTGCCAAGTTTCGAATAAACTTGCTTTGGAAACAACACTCACCAGGTGGTCTTTACAGCTCTTTTTCCTTAGTCCAAACAAGAGCATGTATGTATGTATATACATATATATGTATGTATCCATCTATCTATAGAGAAAGTAGCCCAGGCTAGTCTTGAACTCAAGATCCTCCTTCCCTAGCCTCCTGAGTGCTGAGGTTACAAGAAGTAAGCCACCATGCTGGCTAAAATGTTGACCTTTTAATTGACAATATTTAATGTTTAAATCTAAATAAATCAAATTTTATTTTAAATAATTTAAAGTATTTTTTAAAGAGTAAGTGTAAAGAAAACTGTATAGGAAAAAGAAAAACAAGACAAAGAAGTGAACAAAGTGGTGACAGGAAATCTGGTCTGTGGTAAATGGCTCTTCAGATTGAGCCTCATGAATGGGACAGCATGTCTCCCTCTATCCACTTTAGCACTTACAGTGTTGGTAAAATAAAGGTTCCTTCCCTGCAGGTAAGCTGCCTCTTTCCCAGTTTTATTTCTAGAAATAACACCAGGCCCCACTTTTATTAAAGCTTTTTTGTTGTTGTTGTTGTTTTTTTTTTTTTTTTAAGGAGTAATACATTTGTGCCAGTCCCTAAAAAACAAAGTGTTAACTGGTATTAGATGGATTCCTTAACTGAGATGCACTGGTCTGGCAAGGTGGTGCACAGAGAATTTTGAACTGGTAAGGTCTTAAGACATTCCCTCTTTGGCATATTCACTCCTTTGTTCATAGGGAAGCTGGCCTTACAACAAGATTTATTTGTCAAAAATTCTGCAGCCCCTGTCTTTCCTTTTTCAACAGGCTAAAGTACAGTTGATCAGACCATGGCTAGCTCCAATTTACACGGAAAGTGAGTCAGGCACAACTTTATGAAGGTTTATAGAGAAGGGAGGTGGGCCATTATATTAACTAGAATTCCAACCCCCTCCCCTTTAGGTTAGGGTAGTTTAGGACAGGTAGCCCTATCTGTCCTTGAACTCACAGAGATCCACCTGCCTCTGCCTCCCAACTGCTGAGATTAAAGGTTTGCATCACTACCATACTATTGACTGGATTTTTTTTTTGTTGTTTACAACTGACAGAAGAAATTTATAGTTCAGACTAGTGATCATAGAAATATATGCTAAAGCCAGGCATTGGTGGCACACACCTTTAATCCCAGCACTCTGGAGGCAGAGGCAGGTAGATCTCTGTGTGTTCAAGACCAGCCTGGTCTACAGATCGAGTTCCAGGACAGGCTCTAAAACAGACAGAGAAACCCTGTCTCAAAAAACAAACAAACAACAAAAAAGAGAAATATATGCTAATAAACATTTTCTAAGAAACTAAATGAGTAATTAAACTAATGATACTGTTCCATCAAGCTTTCTATCAATTGACAAATCTATACTCACTGGAAATACAATGTCTTAAGTAAAGATTTTCTATATATTAACTTCCTCAATTTACATTAATTCCTTCAGTAACATCTGCTAACTAGTTATCTTATAAGCAAAAGACATTTGAATATCAACTAAGTATACACTTTGTTCAATATTCTAAATAAAAGTTCAAATTAAGATTTTTGTTCAAAAGCTAACTTATCAAAGTCTGGATAATAGAGACTAGGGAAATAATGGTCACTAATACAAAGAGGAAAATTCGTAGAACTAATGAGACCAGTACAACATCTGATATAGCATACAAGCACAAGATTAAGAAATATCTATTACATGCCAAGAACTGAGCTACAGGCTGGAGATGGTAGGACACACACATTTTAAAAAATAAAACATTCGCCCGGCGGCGGTGGTGGCATACACCTTTAATCCCAGCACTCAGGAGGCAGAGGCAGGCGGATGGTTTGAGACCAGCCTGGTCTACAAGAACTAGTTCCAGGACAGCCTCCAAAGTCACAGAGAAACCCTGTCTTGAAAAAACAAACAAACAAAAATCAATCAATTAATTAATTAAAATAAAAAATAAATAAAACATTCTTGAGCATGATAGATTATCTGAAAAATGATAAAATGAGGATTCTCATGGAAAAAAACAATCATGGAACAATTGGGAAGAAGACATAGTACACTGTGTGTTTAGCAAGAACCTCAGTGTTTAAGAGTACTGGCTGCTCTTCCAGAAGATGGGGCTCAGTTTCCAGCACCCACATGGCAGATCATAACTACCTATAATTCAAGACCCAGGGGATCTGACACCTTCTGCTGGTCTCCTTGGGCATGCACACATGTGGTTCAAACAATCATATCCACAGTTTTTTTTTAATTAAATAAGAATTTTAGAGTATACAAGACCCAAAAGTGAAGAAATAGAAAAAATGGGAATCTCCACTGGAAGCAACTGAAATCATTAAGGAAGTACGTGGTGTGCTTTAAGGAAGATATAAAGTTGGCAGCATTACACTTGCCTATCAGGCAGGAAATGCATAAAGCTTTAGGTTCAGTTCTTAGAACTGGGGGGTTGGGTGAGGGGAGAGGAGTGTGTCCTGTTGCTATGTAATGGGTAACAGACAGGATGTTATTAAACACCTACAATGTATAGGACAGCAAAGACTTATCTAGCCCAAAATGTCAATGGTGTGATACAAATCCTAATAAAAGAGTAACCCAAGTTTCCTGGATTTCTATTTTGCGGGACCGAAAATAATAGTACTGTTAGCCAGAGTAGTCAATAGAACAGAGGATTTGAGACTGGAAGATGAGAAGCAGAGTTCAATCTTGACCAAATCCAGATGACTAAGAGGTGTAAAGTGTATAAGGTTGAGAGATATCAAACAATAGCTTTGGATGGTAATGTAAGTTATTAAAGAAAGTAAATTAAGTACAAGGCTTTGGACTCATCAAGATAGGATAATGGAATATTTTTTTTGAGTTTGTCAAATGTAAATAGACTAGACATTGTTGACATATTTATTGCCTGTATATACTGTATATAGTTATTGTGCTTACTTGTACTTACTGTATATAGTTTTTCTTATATTAGTTATAGCCTTTTTTATTTTAGACAAAGAAGGGGGAATATGGTGATATTTTGTTTATGCTATAACAAAGAAAGCTTGCCTGAAGATCAGAGCGCAGAGCTAGCCACACTAGTTAACAATAGAGGTCAGGCAGTGACGGCACACACCTTTAATCCCAGCACTTGGGAGACAGGCAGGCATGTCTCTGTTAAAGGCCACCCTGGGCTACATGAGACTGAATCTGTCTAAAAAAGAAATAGAGCTCACACAAAGGTGATCCCAGCACTTGGGATCTCACACCTTTAATCCCAACACTAGGAAGGTGGAGAGAAGAATATAAGGTCGGAGGAGACAAGAAGCGCATAGCAGTCTGAGCAGTCAGTCTGAGGATGCAGTCTGAAGCAGTCAGTCTGAAGCAGCAGTCTGAGGACAGGATTGCTCCTTTGGTCTGAGCATTGGTTGAGGTAAAAACTCCAGTAGCTGGCTGCTCTGCATCTCTGATCTTTCAGCTTTCACACCCTGATAGCTGAGTTTTTATTGACCAAAGAGAATTTATGCTATACATGCCTCTACAATTCCATTCTTCCCAGA